ACTATATTCTTAATAACTTTTACTAGATAATGATGAGTAGAAATTACATGAATTTGTAGCATTTAAATTTACTTAAACATTAGTGCAAATTGTTTACAGGATTCTCTCTAGTAAATCTTACAAGTTATTTTTTACAGTGCAGTCTTTGTTGACAAGTCTTCCAAACTGAATTAAATTTGTCTGACAGCCTGCAGAACTCATTTACAGCCACTTCATTCAGATTGGTACTTCTCTCTTCCCAGTAGGGGATGGTTGTTCGCAGCACACAACTTCTGGTTAGCTTCTTAGCTTAGCTCAGGGTTCAGGGTTGAGCTGGTGCGTTGCATTTATCACAGCCAGACGTTAGCGTTTGAGTAAAATCAGATCCAATCGTTTAATACTTCGACAGAGTCCACCACGCCTCCAGCAAGAAACTGTTACTCAACAGCGGAGAGGTCGACCCTCTGCTGCCACTCTGCTCCCCCAACACTCCCTCCAGGACCCCAGTACTTTACCACCACAACCATGATCATAAATGTCCTGTGTTTCAGGCTCTATCAGAGCTCAATGCAGCTGCTCGTGCCTTTGTTTGATGAGCAGTGCAAGTTTAGGACTTGATTCATAAAGATTTATTCTCCCACTGTGACCATTTCTGAATTACAAACAGATGTGAACTATTCTTGGTAGTAAATCTGCCTCCATGATGGTAATTAGTGCACCACATCAGGACATGTTATGGTGCCATGTCTAACTTTAAGACCATTTCAAATCATTTGGACTAACAAAGGTAAGAAACCATCCCAAAAAAAGATGCAGTGATCGTTTCCAAGTGGTGTGAAATAAAATGAAACAGTTTATAACAACCTGAGCCAGGTGGAAAACCTGTTTCATGATTGTGTTGTGACAAACAACAGGGAGCTTTAATAAGAGTAGTTTTCAGTGGAGGTAGATTAATAATAATGTAACATCAGGAAACTGAAGTCCACTGTCCTGAGTGACAGGTGCAGTGACTCATCACTGCACTGATGGAAAGCTGTGACAGGTCAGGGCTGACTGAAACATACCCACAACTGCAGGGTTAGGACCACCTGATGTTTTCATACAAACCTTGGTTCTCCTTCCTGTTCAGAAGACTCTTCCTCCTCTTCCTCACTGCCACTGTACTCATACTCTGTCTCATCTGTGAGAAAAGGACAACAGCCATCACTTCACTCTTCCTGTCTGTAAATATAGCTGCAATCAGAAAACAAGGACCCACCTTTCTCCCCCCTCTTCTTCTTGGTTCTGTCGATGTGGTCTTTGAGCTGGATGCGGACCTGCCTCTCRTTGGGCTGGTCTCGGATGAAGGGGTGTTTCAGGAGCTGGTCTGTAGGAGGACGCTGGGTGTAGTTCTTCACCAGGCAGCCCTCAATGAAACTGAAGAACTTTTTGGACCTGTTGGGGTGGTTTTTACATTTGATCTGAGGAGTTAGGAGGTTTTCACATGTTCATATTAGGTCAAATAAAAATAAAAGAAAAAAGTTATCGCACCATTTTTTGGACTTGAGTCGTGGTGGAGGGTTTCTGGGAATAAGGAAGAGGGCTCTCATTGGATGCATGTCACACAGGGCTGTGGGAAAGAGAAAAAACATTAGAAAAACACAAACATCATGTGAAATGACAAGTTTAAGAAAAGAAACAAATCAGTGGTTAGTTTAACTAAAACAGAGAATCTTATCCTATGGGCCATCTTAAGGGCCTTTAAAGAACAACAGTTTTTAACTTTGGGCCACAGAGGGCCGTGGGACCACTTTAATTTTCAATAAGGTGCAATACACTTTCTCACCACTAGTAGCAGTAGTGCACCACTCAGATGTTTAACAACTTTTTAATATGTAGAAGAAGAACCTTAGAAACCAGCCGAGCAGGGGTGGTCAGTCCTGGTCCTGGAGGGCCGCAGCCCTACATGTTTTACATGTTTTACATGTTTT